TCCACTATAAGCTAGTAAGGCATCCTAATCTTCGCCCCTATTATAGGCTCAAACGAAAAGGGTTCAATTCGAGTGAGAATTTTCATTAGCTTACATGAAGGTACATGCTCATTCATAAGAAAAGACAAAGCTCAAGTTTAAAACTTATGCGTAAATGCATGTGTAGTATGTGTAAAGGAACATGCCAAGCCATATAATCAAATAAATTAGTACACATGAAAATCACAATAAAAAAATAGACAAATATATTAATACATATAAAAAGCCATAAGCTATAAAATAAACAAATAGATTAATGCACATGAAAAATCATAAATAATTATATAATAAAACTATCAAAGTAAGGCTTAAGATAACATACAACTAACTAATGGCTTGATTCTCTAATAGTCCTTAGTGGAGTTATTAAATTGTCATAATGTTCAAATCCAAAAACCTAACTATTAGACACAAAAATCATGGAGTCACCATCAATATTTTTTATCTAGGTATGGTTGGCCTCCTTAATGAATCTATCCTTTTTAATATTATCCTAAGCTTAACTAAAAGTCCCTAAAAACTAAAAAGAATAAGTTCTGGTCTATATTAATAAAACTAAATTCGGGAGCCGGTTACGTGTAGAGAAGGTTTTAGCACTCCATAATGCCCAAATTTGGTACCAAATTAATTACATGTTATCTTGTTTAAGCTTTAATCAAAGATGATTTTTTTAATTAATTTTGGTATTTAAATATTAGAAAAAAGTCGTTAGGCTTACACCAAAAAAAATTTTTTCTTCACCTCAAGAGTTTTCAAGATAAACTCGTTATTCATTTAAAGAGACTCTTCGTCGATTCATTAAATATCTTATGAAAAATCAAATTCTAAGTTTTTTTATTTATTTACAATATAATGTCATATAAATATCAAAATATCATAAAAAAATATCATGCAATAATACCATAATTAAAACATGCAAAATAAAAATTCATGCAAAATATCATAGTAAAAATCATGCCAAAAATCATGTAAAGATATCATGCTAGAATAAAATCCATACAAAATAGCATGCAAACATATAAATAAATCACACAAACGAAATCCATGCAAAATATCATGCAAATAAACAAAATCTATGCAAAAATATCATGCAAATAAATATCATAAAAAATCATACAAATAAATGTCATAATATAAATCATGCAAATAATCATGCAAAAATATCATAAAAATCATACAAAAATCAACTATAAAAACTTATATTAAAGTTGCCTACTTTTTTCTTTTTGTTAGTATTTTCAATTCAATCACAATTAATAAAAAGTAGATGAATAAAAATCAAAATAAAATAAAAAATCAAAATAAAATAATAATAAAAAATCTACGATTAAATTAGGTCAAGTAATACGTCAATCTACTAATCGTCTCGGGTCTAAGTACAAGTTAGGGGCTGTAAAATGACCTCATTTACTATTTGTATACAAGCCAAAAATCAGTTTTGTCTTAGATTTCCCTCATTTTCTCTCTAGCTTTTCTTCCCTCTACCCTTTTTTTAAAAGTCCACCATGGCATTCAATTACCCAATTGTCGACCAAAAAACTCAAAATTCGATTACCGTGAAATTTTTTTAGTGCTGTAAAATTCAGTAGGAATTTCAAAAACTCATGAAAAATTCATGAAAAACTGAAAAATAAATTCTACCTAGAAATTGAAACTTTCAAAAATTCTCTAATCCATAAACACTAAAGACCAATTCCTAAACTCTTTCACTAAAACTCCTAAAAATAATTTCAACATCAAATTCCCAAAATCCCAAAACTGAAAACCCAAGAAATTTTCTATTTGCTCGACTCTATTTATGGTGTGATTACTTCTTTGATTGTTTGTTGCTTGTGATTGCAATTTTGGGTTCTTTATATAGGGAAAGCTTTTGATTTTATTGAATCTAAAAAAAATAAATTTGTAGATTCTTTATGGGATCTTTCCTTTATCAAACACCTTGATGCCTAAGTATTTCGAAAAGCAATTGATTTTTAAATTTTCAATCTCAACAAGATTTAAGAAATCCAATCTCAAGTTTCCTTTTGCAAACATCAATCTCGGTTTTTTTTTTACTAGTTTTATTGAATAATAAAACAAATAATAATAAAAATTAAAAATAGAACCTAAAATAAATAAATAAATAAAATAAAAATATACCTTTGGACTTTTAATCTCGAGCTTAGAATTCAATTTCATAATTAAGACCTAATTAAATAGTTTCCAAACCATTATCAAGACAAATTACAAAGCCCCATTAAACATAAAAAAAAATCTCTAAATAAAATGGGATGTCTACATCTATCATTATTTTTACCCTTATTTTTCGTTAATTCTTTCATATGTTTCTAAATTCAGCTTTTGGTGGTAGATTTAAAAAGCTACAATTTAATTAATAACTTCACTAATATCTTTGATTAATATTTAATAATTATTTGTGTAATATAAAGTTATATAAATTCTGAAACGAAGTGAAAGCTTTTGTCCTAGCATATGTATAGCTAACGGCAAATAAAATTGGCATGGTCAGGTAAGACGAGTAGCATTCATCAAATCCCAAAATTTTTTAAAAAAATTGATATTATCTTTATTAAATCTCTCCTTTTTTATTTAGATTTAATACCAAATGTACCCTCAACATTTGTATAAAATAATTTTAAGTTTTTGGTTTTTTATTACATGCGAATATGTTTAGAATCTTTTTTATTTTGTTATAAATAAAATATATATTTTTTAAACTTACGTAAAAAAGTCTCATTTAATTAAATGAGGCTAACGAGCATTTGTATTATATAGTTGGCATCATACGTAAAAGATTACATGTAAAATGATGTTCATATGGATTGTTTTTAATTTTTTAATATTTGAATTTTTTTTCAAAGAACAAATTTTTTTTTTAAAAATTAAAAATGCAATAAAAGGTGGATTTGTTATTTCTATTTTTTGTAAAAAGTTTAGAGTATATTTACATATTAAACTTTTTTTAACTACAATGAGGTGTAAACTTTTTTTAACTAAAATGATGTGTCAATGGCTTTACGTAGACATTATTTTACACATCATCTTTCATGTAGGATACCAAATACGCAATACAAAAATGAATGTTAGTCTCATTTAACTGAATTATATTTTTTTACGTAACTTTAAAAGTTTATGATTTATTTGTAGTAAAATAAAAGATTATAAATTTATTTTTGTGTAATAAGAGATCGATGTTTTATATTTATTTTGTAAAAAAAAGGTATATTTTAATATTAAGCCTTTTATTTACCATCCTATCATTAACAGGCTAACCTTTTGCTTAAAAAAAAAAAATCAACGCTAAGGCAAATATTTTGTGGCTAGAGAATGAGGCTACTTTGGTCAAATTACGTAAGAAGTTTTTATACTTGTGAAAATTTAAAATTTAGTCCTTATATGTTAATTCCTTTAAATTTAGTTCTATAATTTTTTAATTTGTTAATTTTAATTCAATTACTAATTTCATTAATTTTTTTTACCATTAAAAATATTGATGTGATTGTTGATTTTGCTGCTATAGTGTTTGGCTTGTTGACATGGCATTAACTTGCCATTAAATAATTTGAATAGATGAAATTAATTATTAAATTATATAAATGATCTCTGTATTTAAATGAAATTTGAAATTTAATCCTTTCACTCACACAAATTTTAATATTTAGCCCTTTTAATATAAAAAAATATTTTGAATTCTTTTAAAAATTTTTTAGAATTTTTAAAAATAATAAATTTACTTTTTAATATTTTAATATTTTTAATTTCATTTTTTTTGAAAATTTTTTATTTTTTAATTTTTGGAAATTTAGATATTTTCTAAAAACTTTAAATATTGTGAATTTTAAAAAAAAATTTCTAGTTTTTTTAAAATATTAAATTTACTTTTCTCAATATTTTAATGTTTGAAGTAAAAAATCATTTTTTTGAGTTTTTTTATGCTTCAAATTTTAACATTTTATTTAATCAAAATTTTTATTTTTTTTGTTTTTAACTTTTTTAGAATTTTTACAAATTTTTTATATTTTTTATGTTTTATAAAAAATTTTATAATTTTAATATTTAAATTAAAATAAATAAATAAACAAATAAACTGTAAAGAATACGCAAGTCATTAAAACTTATTCTATTTGGTATATTTAAGATGGATGAACATAAAATCTGGGTAAAATAAAGAAATAAGAAACATGGAAAATTTTTTATTTCGATTGATTTTCCATTTGAATAAGATAAAAAAGTATAATTTTTTAAAAAATTTATTCTCTTTTTTTAAACATAAAATATTATAAATTTTTTTTACAAATAAAAATTAAAAAATATAGAAAATTTTATAAAAATTCCAAAAAATAAAAATAATAAAATTAAATATTTTGTTTAAATAAAAATTTTAAATTTTGGAAAAATAAAAAATATCTAAAAAATGAAACCAAAATATTAAAATATTAAAAAATAAATTTAATATTTTAAAAAATTAAAAAATTAATAAATATTTTAAATATTTTTCTTATTAAGATAATAAATTTTAAATTTCATACAAATATAAAAATTAAATTTAAAATTTCACATGAATGCAATGATTGTTTATAAAATTTAATAATTAATTTTATTCATCCAAATTATTATGTTAGTAGGTCAATATTATATCAATAAAATCAATAATATATCATCAAATTAATGATCGTGTTAGCATTTTATCGACAAAAGATTAACAGAGTTTGTGATTAAATTAAAAAAATAAGATAATTAAATTTATATAAATTATAATATAAAAACTAAAATTTAAATTTCTAAAAAGTGTAGAGACCTGAAGCACAATTTGATCGGCTATTCCTAATAATGAGTGGTACATGTTAGAAGAGCATAAGGCCGGGGCAGAAGGCGAGTGAGTGTTGCATGTTGTTGGCTACGTGGACTAACACCCAACATTGGTTAAGGCTCAATTGCTTTCTTAACCGCTCATTAGTTCTGAATCCGCGCACGCGCAGCCTCTCTCTCGGCCAAATGCTAATGGCAACCTTCAACTCTCTCACTCTGCCCTTGTCAAAACTTGAATTTCCAGTGTGCTCCGCTGCAAGAATCAAGATTTCCACCTCCCCTCTCCATTCATTTCCCAACCTTTCACGCTTCAGGCCAAATGGGTTCCTTATACGCTCCATTTCAAGTGATCATTCCACCATGGCCACGGGTGATCAAATTGGAGATAAGACCAACTCCCGGCCTCAAATTCAAACTTGGTACACTTTTCTATCTTTTATAACTGTGGAGAATACAGCTAAAAACCAGAGGTGTAAATGCCCATGGACAATGATTTCTAATCTGGTTTAGAAGAAAATAGTAATGAGTAGAAATCTTCTGGAAATCAAACTACCCAGTAAATCATGTCAAACAAATTCGTTTTTCTGTGTACATATTTAGATTAGGAGTCTTGAAGGGCACTGCAATCTCAGAAATTTCGTTAAATTCACCCCTTTGAATACCAAGGAATAGTTCTTGACACCATAAAAAGTTCACTGCATTTGTATCAAAAAAGGTTGTTGTATTTCCCAACAGTCAGTATACAACATTGTAGTTATACGTTGCAGTTGCTTCCTATGAATGGCAAGTTATAATTTAATAACCCTTAGTTTTCTTTAATTTTAACGTTGTATCTTCCGTCTTATAGTACATGGAACTGGAGGGGCTACACTATTCGCTATCAATGTTCTGGGAGCTGCGGTCCTGCCTTGCTTTTAGTACATGGCTTTGGAGCAAACAGGTCTACATAATTGAAATTTTGCTTCTCATTAGCAGACAAGTAATTTCTATAGGTATTGATCGCAAAAATTGCTCAATATGGTCATGCTTTTGTATTTTCATATTTTCCATCGCATGCATGTGGGTTTCTTTTTTACTTTTAGATGATGATGCCCTTACAAATGGTGGAATTTGCCATACAATCATGTCAGAAATAAAGTTGATATTGCTAGAAAACCTATTTTTTATTTTTATTTTTTTGTTCTAGGAACTGTTATGTATGTTATAATTAGATTGATGTTCTTAGTAATCTTGCTGGTAGTGTGCATGGTTATATTATGGTAATGAATAATGCTGCTTTGGGGAGGAATATGATTAGGTCCTTGCAACTTTTTCGAAGATTATCTTTATTCTGTATCTCAAAGCTATTAATATGCTAAAAGTGGATGCAATCAGAATTCATTATTCCCATTCCTTGAGGCTTTCCTTTTCCTTTTATACTTTGCTGCTATTGTTTCTCTTATACAGGATGTTATAGAACTGGAATTTAAGATGTCTTTATTGTCCAATAAACAACTTTTTGGATCTTGCATGCATAAATACAGTAAGTTTCAGTTTTTGGTAATTATTTGGGGAAAGCATGAATAACTAATGAAAAGAGAGAGTATAACAGGTTTTATGTATTTAAAGAAACTGCAAAGTGACATATTTGTTGTTTGCAACAGCTGTGGTAGTGTTAGTGGCGATGGTGTTTCGCTTGTGGTCACAGAAAACAGCATGGTAATTTAATGAAGTTATCTAACAATAAAGAAGTCTTGATATTGTGTTTCCTTAAAACATCTAGTCTTGACTCCTTTTCTGTAGAACTATGGCCTGCATTGGTGCACCTGTGCATAGCAGCTAATTTTTGAGTGAAGGAAGCCTTGAGCCTTGTTCCAAAGGGATCCACCATTTTGTGCATAATAAAAAAAGGAGCATATTATACTAGGTTTGAGACTTAAGGTGGTTAAATCGATTGGATTTTGTAATGTAATTAATTGTCACTGGTTTAAGCGCATGTCAGACAGTGAAGTATGCAGAAGATGCTGTGCTTAAAGAATTGTCAACCCACCAGTTTCCTTTTGGATGGCTTGTTGCATCTAGAATTTAGGGTATACTGTTTCTTGTAGTGCTGCTTAATTCTTTTCAAATGTTTATTTTCTCAACTAGGCGATTGGTATATGCATGTTTGAGAGTGTTTCAATTATTGATTGTTTAAATGTTTCCTTTTAATAACTTGCTTCCATATTTACTTTCTTGATGTTTGATTCTTGTGATTTCTTGCTTATTACAGTGATCATTGGAGGAAAAATATTCCAGTTCTTGCACAATCACATAGGGTATATGCAATTGATCTTATTGGTTATGGATACTCAGACAAGCCAAATCCTCGTGAGGTTGGGGACTCATTCTATACATTTGAGGCTTGGGCTTCCCAATTGAATGATTTTTGTAGCAGCGTGGTTAAAGAAGAAGCATTCTTTATTTGCAATTCTATTGGAGGTAACAACCCTTGTTAATGTTCTAATTCATGTAATATTAATTCTTTCACCAACGTGTGTTGGTCCGAGTGGCAAGGAGCTCGGTTCCCCTTAAGCAAGGTCTTGGTTTCGAGTCTTGTGAATAGAGAAAATAGGCACTGGGAGAGCTTACCTCCCTTATGGGGTCCGACTTAGCTTGACTCTGGAATAGTTGGGGCCCAAAGTGGCTACCGGACACCAAGGGTTTCCAGACCAAAAAAAAAAAATTATTAATTCTTTCACAATTTTTAACTCAAAACAAAAAATTCTTTCAAAATTTGATGCTCATGCTATATCTTAGTATAATATTAATCTTTATCATCTATCTTACCTTCTTCACAGCCCTTTCTTCTTTCCATTTTGGGCCTTTACCTATTGTAGATAGTTGGGAAAGTAGTAGCCACTTATATATGTGAGGTTTCAGAGGCATGACTCCTATACTTAGGATAATAATTTCCAGTTATGATGGTATTATATTCTAGTTATCAGAATATTTTGTATGAATCTGACTGACTTACAACCATCACATGTGCTGACAATGGGCTAAAAAAATTTTCCATTGAGGTCTTTTGTATGTCACACTTTTCCCCCTTTCTCTTATCCTTTGTCACTCTTAGTTAGGACCTTTTGGTTTGGCTTTGCTAGACAAGATAATACTATCCTTGTCCTTTTTTTTTTTTCATTGTTTCTCTACCTTGAGGGCTGAGGCTGCTAAGCATCTGTGACACTGTCTTCCTTCTGCCCAGATGATAAAAAAAAAAAAGGGTTTCCCCTGATTAAAGGTTCTAAACTTATTTTCATGTTCTTTTGAGAACATAACAAAGGAAAAAGAGGAGATGGTATTATAGTGCATACCTAACTGCTGACATTATACAAACACCTTAAACAGAGTGCTTATTGCAGCGCAATATTTTGCTTGTTAAGTTGATATGTTGTTGAAAAAGAAAAATGAAAATCCTTAAATTTGACAAACCATAGAAAGTTTCCAAGTTTCCTGTTTGATGTATAGGTTTACCATTGAGAATATTTAAATTTAGTTCATAAAGCATATAATTCGGTTCATTTACCACCTTTCTTGACATGTGATATGAATTTCCTGGGCATAAGTTTCTTTTATAATCACATTTGACCCTTCATCACTGGTTTCGTGTGCTCCCTTCCCATTTTCGTCACTATTTAATTATTAATACTATTGTTTTTGCTTGGAAATGTATTGTTAGGACCTAGAAAATGTGAAAATTGATTGCACAAGCAAAGCAGCCCTCATAGAGCTGTCAAGAGAGTTTGAATAACTTGCAACTGATTTCCTTAGTAACATTTAAATTTAAAATTTGTTGGGAGTCATTTTCACATTATCTGATGTGTTATGGCCTCTGGAACCCACATTATGAACTCCTGTTGTTTTAGGATGCCGATATTTTGGTTGCAATAATACAGACCTTCTCATTTGATGTTATTTCTTTAAAAACAAGCAACGCTTGGGTTTTGTCTGCATTTCAAAATTTTGTGCAGCTTAATAGTAAAAGCAATATGCCTGTCTAAATAATGGGGTCTTCTTGTAGGATTGGTTGGTCTTCAAGCAGCAGTCACGAACCCGCAGATCTGTCGGGGTATTCTCCTATTAAATATATCTCTGCGCATGCTTCATATAAAAAAGCAGCCATGGTTTGGAAGACCTTTCATCGCTTCATTTCAGAGTTTGCTGAGGTAATAATGATATGGAAGCATTGTTATTTTTTCAGCTTAGTTTAGAGTGTTCATATTGGTTTTTCAGGCAGTAATGCTGTCTTGGCAGGAATACTGCATTGGGCAAACTTTTTTACAGATCCATCGCCACACCAGAGTCTGTTAGAAGTATTCTTTGCCAGGTAGTCTTCTATGATGACTTTTGTAAGAAATCACTTAATTTTTATATATATGTTGGGTAAGTTAGCTTGCAAAGACGTTACTGAGGTTATAACCTCTGACCTTTGCCCCAGAACCAAGGCTTTTAACAAGTTAGTTGGCATCACAATTTGGGTGTTTTACAGATTTTTGCTACATAGGTAGTGGTCAATGCTTGCTTGTTTCTTCTTCCTACGCTATATTTGAAACCTTCAAAGTTCAAAATTTGTTCCCTGATTAATTTTGTCATTTGGGTTTTTAATCTTTGGCCTCCACAAAAGTCATTTTGATAAGTGAAATTTTGTGAAAACTGAATATTCTCTAGGACTAAGACTTAAGAGCTAGATCCATTTTTTGTTTCATGTACCGGAAGCAAAAGGTTCATTTAATTTGAGTATCCCCATCCCTTTTTCCCCTTCTTTTTAGTTTTTTTCCTTTGCGTTTTTAGTACTAATGGGTAATAAAAGGAAAAAAAATATGAGCACTGATTGGAGTAATGATAAAATAGAATTGAATATGCAAGGAGAGGGGTATGTGCTTGTGACCTATTTGTTGGGCCAAGGTAGTCCACCACTATTTCCTATAATTATTTGGTCCAATTATGCTACAGGTCCCTATACTCAATAAAAATTTGAGATTTATTCCCAGTAGTGTAATTCATAAAAATATAATCCTCATATTAAATTGATTTAATAATCTTAGTCCAATTATTAACTCTGTTAAATTTTTTCCCATCAGATGATGTGACATTTTGATTGGTTAAAAATGTAATTGATTATGGCATGGATTAAATGAAATGACACATGACCGTTTGTATTAATCCATGTCATATTTTTATTTTATTTTTTTTTTAAAAGATTAATTTATAATTTTAATTTGTTAATAATTAAAAAAAAAAAAACTTTGAAAAACAAAAACAAAAGCCAAAAAATATTAAAATTTAATTTTTCAATTACCCTTCTCTCTCCAAAATCTCTCTCTTCCTCAAGAATAAGCTAGCATTTTTCCTAGTGCCACCTGCAATAGGGATGTCCCTTATCGTGCCACCATGAGTCTAGCAACGGCAACAGGACTTACAGAAATGGCAAGGCTTGGCAAAGTTACAGTTGTTGTAGTAGCAAAACTTAGTATTGGTAGAGTCCACGTGGGAAAGGTAGCTGTTCTTGTTCTGGTGGTGGGACTCGTGTGTTATGAGCCTTGGTTGAACATGGCTTAAGTTATAGTATCTTCAGACTAAAGAAAGTGGCTTAAGTTATAATATCTTCTTCAAGTCCTGGTTTTTGTTCTTGTTGGCATAGAAAGTTTGTTTTTTCTTTTCTCTTTTTTCTTTTTTTTTTTGGGTGGGTGGTTTCAGATTTGCTTGTAGTGGGAGAGTGAAGGAGGGATTATATATATATATAGAGAGAGAGAGAGAACGACAAGAGGAAGAGAATCTATTGGACAAGTCAAACATTTTCTGAAGGTTTTATGAACTGAGTGAAAGAGAACAGAGCAGACTTTACAGTGTTTTGTTAGTCTCAACAATTTGATCAGTTGGCTATAGAATGGGCTTTACTGAGAAAAAAGATGTGAGAAGTTTTGGTGGTGGAAGGGGACAGGTAGTGGCTGTCTTTGTTTTCAAACTTAGATATAGGAAAATTTAAAAGATTTTCAATGAATCTATACGATCAAGAAGGAGGAATCTGAAAAGGGATATTTTTGGTTTTTCGTTGCCGGCAACAGTGGTCACCAGCGATGGAGGGGGTGGCCAATGCGACAAAGGCTTTGCATAGTCAGGATTTCTTGAATTGCCTGAGCTGGTTCTTGAGGAAGAGAGAGATTTAATTATTAATAAATTAAAAATTTTAAATTAATTTTTTGAAAAAATAAAATAAAAATATGATGTGGATTAATATAAATGTTCATGTGGCATTGCATTTAATCCAGATCATCACTAGTTACATTCTTAACTAATTAAAATGCCACATCATCAAAATCCATGACCATATCATCAAGTCAACTGCCACATTAACACTTTTAACAAAAAAATTTAACAGAGTTGATAATTGGAGTAAGATCATTAAATCAATTTAGTATGAAGACTATATTTGTATTAATTACACTACACGGACTAAATCTCAAATTTTAATTGAGTTCAATGAGTAATGACATAATTTGACCTAATTGTTTTTGTTTGGCATGCAGTTTGCATATCACATGAGTATTTAATTTTTTTTTTTAAATTATGTTTATATTGATTATATGATGACAATATTTTTATATTTATTGATTTTAAGAGCCTGTTTGATGTGATGGAAGTTTCTGTAAGGTGTACGGTTAGAGTGAAGCTGTTCTAATTGTGCTGTAAAGAGAAACTAAGATAACATTTGACAAATTTATTGCAGAATTGCTGTATGATGAAGAAAAATCTATTTGATAGTATTTTTGTTGAAAAATAAATAAAAACTCAACTTTATAAAAAATATTGGAAAATTGAATTATTTGAAAATGTTAAATTTCAATGGTTTGAGAATTTTCAATGATTTATCAAACATCACTTTAGTCTTTAGGTTGAAAGGCTAACAATGTTTGTAATATTTAAACCTTGAAGCTATATGGTTCCAAGTTGTTCAAGCAGTGAAGAAGTAATGATTGAGAACTGAGGTTGAAATTTGGATGATATGTATGACAAGTTAGTAACTATGTAGGCCACCTGAGAAATTAATTGAAAAGAATAGCACAAAGTTAGCAATGCCTTTGCTTGAGTGCTTCTGTTGTTGCATTTTAGTGTTACCATGACACCTCTCAAGTGACCGAAGAACTAGTTCAGATTATCCTGCAACCAGGACTTCAGCCTGGAGCTGTTGATATTTTTCTTGAGTTCATATGCTACTCCGGTGGCCCCCTCCCTGAGGAATTACTGCCACAGGTGAAGGTGAGTTTCTTAAAACTAATTTCTCACAAGCCATCCTCTTTCCCTTGCATTTTGATGTTACTTTCACGGATAAGTTTATGCTTCTTGTTACCTCGTTTTGCAGTGCCCTGTCTTGATAGCATGGGGTGACAAGGATCCATGGGAAAGCATCGAGCTTGGAAGAGCCTATGGGAATTTTGATTCCGTAGAAGACTTTATCATTCTCCCTAATGTTGGCCACTGCCCTCAGGTTGCTCTCTCTCTCTCTCTCTCTCTCTCTCTCTCTCTCTCACACACGCACATGCACGTGTTTGTACATGAGGCTAGAAAGCTTCTCTGCATGTGTGAAACTGTAACTGTGACTCATTGAAGGGTGTTTATTAGAATTATCTTGCAAGATAATACATCTTAAAGTAGTCTTATGTACAATTGCTTTCAAGATTTGGGGACTTTTTTGGACCATTTACCCTAAAAATAGTTAAAATATTTATGCTTTCTGAAATTTGGCATTAAACTGAGCTCTGGTTTGCCATTGATTAAAGGAAGTGTCGTTTAAAGAAACAATTGTCCAACGGGTTAGCCTTTCATGGATATGATGATTTGTTGTTAATGACGTCTCCCATCTCTCTATTGTTGACGTGCATGTAGGATGAAGCTCCACATCTTGTGAATCCACTTGTTGAGGCATTCGTCGCACGCTATTCTAAATCTGCAGCTAAGGCTTCTGCAACGATATAACCCCATGGTGGAGCTTCTGTAGCTGCTTCTATATCCATTATTGGCATTCATGATATTCCTTTGCATAGGCCACCGCGGATCCCACACTGTATATAATTCAATAGGATGTCAAAAAGCATATTTTGCAAGCTGAATGCCGAGGCTTGCAACAATTGTTAATTGAATGTTACTTTGTCAAAGTATTTTGCAAATGATATAGAAGTCTTAAGACTCTCTTCCCCCCTACCCATGGACTATGCCCATCTTATGTACCAAAAAAAAAAATGTTTTGCAACTTTTGCCACTAGGCTCTTCCACACAACTAATAAGCAACTAACAATATTAATATGTAGCTTTAAGTCAATATTTCTACAAATAATGAAGAGAGTATTAACAAACATTTTCCGTTTGGTCATTGGTAACTGAGAGAGTATTGAAAATGTGTCATTGGTATCTGAAAGAGAGCATTAACAAACATATTCCGGTCCTTGGTTCGTTGGTGTCTGACATTAAGCTCATTCCTGGCAAGAGCACGGATTCATGTCTCTTTCCATGATTAGTTTCCCTTCTGACTGGATTTGTGCAAAATAAATAAATTGGTTGGAAGATTGAAGCACGAGTCCAAAAATTGACAGTTGGAACTTAACTGGTACCAAGTGTTGAAACCGCAATCTGAATTGGCAATTAACAAGCTACAAGCTAATGTTTTAGCCCTAATTTTTAGTCCAAGTCAAATCAGGTTGACTTATTAGATCCATTGGTCAAGATAAAGTTCTGATTTGTTAAGCTACCATTTACGAGAGAAGGTTTTTTTTTTTTTTTTAATTTTTAATTTATCCTTTAATTTTATAGTTTCATAAAAATAAATTGATATTACATGTATAAATTCTTTTAAATTTATAATCTTTAAATTTTATATATAATAAATTGATAATTGGTGTATAAACTTAAAATCTTTAAATTTTATATATAATATCATTTTAATTGATCTAAAACCAATCAACAAAAGTTTCTTCAGCTTAATTCAATATGGGAGCTTGGAGTAGTACTACAAGTCATCCACCAAAAATTTTCTACCATTTCATATCGAATGTTCATATATAATTATCTGTAGTTGCTTTTAATTAGTCTATACTAATTTGTCGGTGGAGAACAAGTAATATACAGTTTTCTTTTTTTAAGAAAAAAAAATGAATTTAACTGAGAAAATATGAGTCTTGCGATAATCAAATACTAGAAAGCAAGTTTTTCACATTTAAAGTCTATCATCTGGTGAGGAAAAAAAAATAAAAATTGATTCAAAATTACAATAGTTGGTTTAATTCAAATCATTTTTTTTATTCGGTTCAAATTAAGTTTGAATATTAAATGTATATATTAAATTCAAATCGGATATTAGATCAAAAAGTTAAATATTGAAAAAGTTTGAACTAAATCAAATTATATATTTTATTAGCTTTTATATATTTTTTTATTTTTATAAAATAAAAATAATTATTTTATATCTAAAATTATTTAAATATATGAAAAATTCATTTTAAATTAATATATAAAAAATAAAAAAACTAAAATTTTAAAAATTGATGAACTAAATCGAATTGATAAAATTTTAAATTGGAAAAGATCATATAAAAAATCTATTTAAAATTTAAAAATTTATAATATTATGCATTAGCTAAAAAATAAATCGAATTCGATTTGATTTCATTAAAATCATTATTATTCCTATTAAAAAAGAGTAAATTCAAAATAAAAAAAATGTTTTTGAATTACCATTGAAATTCAAACTTAAAATTTTTAATTTTAAAATCTATTTTAGTATCATTGAATTAATAATTTATTTTATTATTTTATTGATAAAAAAGATATGTTTTGGATCATATATATCTTATGGCCTATACGGATTTCCTAATATCTTTTACTATTATGAGTGGCAAAAATATTGGATGATCATTGAAGCAACATCAATGCTACAACTATAATAAAACAATATCAAAATCTTCCATTAATCAATGGTGGGCTTAATGTGGGTTCCACATCATCATCATCTTTAATGCACGCTTGAATCTATTTTAGTGCCATGATCATAATTACATCATGGTCATGGGTCATAAAGTGGGTATCGTTTACACACATCATAGATAAATATATATTTATATTGTCACATATTTTTTTATTTTTAGATAAAAATTAAATATATAACATTTATATTTAGTTATTTTAATCCAATAAATAATATACATATACGAGGAAGAATTAGCTTATACAGTGTAAAATTTTTTAATTTTACATATTTTTTTAGTCCTTAATTTTAATAGATCCAAAAAATAAAATAAAATTATTTTTTTTTTATTTTACTTATCTTTTTCATCTTTTAAATCTAATAAAATTAAGAGTTAAAAAATATAAAATTAAAAAAAATTATACTGTATAAGTTGATTTTTCCTATATATATGTACACACACATACACACATATAGTATAAGGATGAGCAATATAAATATATAATGAGACATTAACTTACACAGTGAAAAACTTTTATAATTTTACATATTTTTTTAATTAATAATTTTAATAGATTCAAGTAATGAAATTAAATAAATTTTTTCTATTTTTATTTATCTCTTTCATCTTTTAAATCTATTAAAAAATATGTAAAACAAAAAAAGTTTTATATTGTATAAATTTATCCTCCTTATATATATTATATGAGAAAAAATATACTGTTAGTAGAGTTTTTTAACTCAATAAGCAGGATTAACAAGGTAACACGTGTCTTACTTCTTTTAAAATTTTTTTTAAACATACACTAAAGGATATATGTAATCATTTTAATCACTCTTGAGAGTTGTAAAACTTTATTGTCAATGTATTCGATAATTTCTTATATATATAATATTGAAAATTTTCAACCCCACAAATGGGATTAACAAGGTGTAACCTTAATGAATATTTTAAAAAAATTAATTTTAAAAAAATGAGACATGGGTCTATATATATATAGACACACACATATGGACACCTAGAAAATGATAAGATTAAGAGATTTTATGTGCCTTGGAGAATCATATATATTTTTTTCATCTAATCATTTTATTAATAAATATTTCTCCACAATATATCAAAGAAAATTTGTTTATAAAGCCTTTATGATTTAGATGGATTATTTTGTTCTTCTCATATTGGCCTTTCATCTGTGTTAGGTATGTAGTATGAACCTTTTTGTTTCTTTAAACTCCTAGCTAGCTACTTGTTAATATCATATTTTATTTTTTTTATCCGAAATAGTACTGGAAACAATAATTCATCAAATTTATCATCATACATAGATAATATATATATATATATATATATATAGTATTAATTGTTTTACAAAATTAAGATAACTTAACAAACGACTTGCTCTTCCGATTCTTTACATTAGCTAAAGCATATTCAAGTTCTAAATTCTTTGAATTTATCAACTGTTGATCATTATTTCTTCCATATATTATTACTTTTATCTAGATATGGTAAAAGCTGATTCGATCCAAAAATCTTGCCTTACCATGCTAAACTCAAATTCAATCAATTTAATTTGATTATAAAAGTCAACAAACAAATTCGACTAGATTCGAATTTGAATTAATCCAAACTTAAATTGATTCAAATTTCAATTGACATAAACTCAATTTGATTTGGATTCGAATTGATTCAAACTCGAATTGATTTGAATTTAAATTGATCTTAACATAAATTAATTCAAACCTAAAGTAACTTTACCTTAAATTTAGGGTTGAAATTGAATTAAAGGAAATTTTTTTTTGTTTTTCTTCGAAATTTTACAATTTTAATTTTAAAGGGAAATAAACAATCAAATGCTAAAAAGTAATCAATTAATGAATTTAATTTTATATAAAATTTTATTAATTTTTTATTATTTATTAATAAGTAATAAATATAAAATTAATTATTAATTTCAAAAAAATATAATCTATAGATAGAATAATAATATTTATTTATTCATTTTAATTATTAAATATATAATCTATAATATATATATGTAATTAGTATAAGGAATAGTTGTATTAAAAATAGATTTCTTTATTTTTTATGAACAAAATTTAAAGATTTATACCCTATAATATGTATATATACAATTATACTTATGTTATTTTTGTTAAATATAAAATTAACTCTCAAAATCAAATGTTACAACTTAAAAATTAAAATTAGAACCAAGTCAACCAAGTCAATCATGTTATGCAATGTCAGGTCATGCTAGGCAATACGTAATAATGTCGTCTTCATTTTTCATTGTATATTTGTACTATTTTCTGTTCAAAATGTCAATTATTTAAATTATATTAATACTGTGTCTAAGTACTTTTGATATTTTAGAAATTTTTTTAAAGTTTTAAGATTAGAACATTATGTCAATAATATAATAAATACCAATGATAATTTTTTTTGACATTATCGTACTTTTTAGTGATGACTTTGATGGTAAGTGTTCTTGAAATTATTTAGTTATTAGTTTGTGATTCTTGCAATGCACAAATTATTTATATATATAATTATAAATACAAATAAGTATTTTTAATAAAATAATATAAAATTTACATATAATATATCCAATTTACTTATTTAAGAAAATAAAACTTTTGTCAATGAGGTCTTTTCTTAATTAATGGTAAGAAAAAGAGGTCTTAAAACCTTAAGAGCCAATATTCAAATCTTATCATATATGAGTTTGATCAAATTTTATATTGGATTTATCTAGTTATGTCCTATTATAAATATTGATTGATTTATTTGTTTAATTTAATTTAATTTAATGATTTTCTATTATGAATGTAATATTTGAACAATATTATTGTTAAAGAAAAAGAAAACCGAAATTTGCATTAACTCAAAGTTCTTCATCAATTTTACATTATTTATGTTTATACTAGTTAAATATAAATCAATTTTATTTAAGAACACAATAAATTTATATGTTAGGATTATAAGAGTAATGTAGATATATTTTGATGCAATTTCAATAATACTTTTCAATAATATTTTAGTAAATTTGATTTATAAAAAATGTAAATATAATGTTTTCTTTTGACTTTTCTAAGAAAAAACTGAAAGAAAAAAATTATTCTAGTAAATAATTAAACGTACTTTTTAAAATAATTTAGATTTATTATTACTCATGATGACCTATTAATAAAATAAATCAAGTTCAAAAGCAAAGAAAATTTATGATCATAATTCATTATATATATGCTTGTAAGACATGAGTTTAAAATTTGGATATTCAAAATATCAATTATTTAAATTATATTAACACTATGTCTAAGTATTTTCGATATTTTAGAAAATTTTTTAAAGTTTTAAGATTAGAACATTATTCTAACTTTATAATCAATACCAATAATATATATTTTTGATATTATTGTACTTTTTAGTTATGACTTTGATGGTAAGTGTTCTTGAAATTATCTAGTTATTTGCTTATTTTTAATTCATTACTAATGAGTAATGTACACGAGTACAATTATATTAAATATTAATATGATTCAATAATAATAAATTAATAATTAATGCATAAAATATTGACAATAAATACTAAATATCAATCAATAAAAATCATTAATAATTTTTTCAAGAATAAAGTTAATTTTATATTTAATGTAACAAAATTTTATATTAATTATTAATCGATTACTTTTAAATCATTTAATTTTAATATCTTAATTTTTATTTAATTTAGTTATATAAATTTGATTTTAAAAATTAAAAAAATTAAATATGAATAACCAAAATGTTAAAATCCAAGGATCAATGATCAAAATAAAAAAAATTTGAAACCCAAATAACTTTGAACTCAAAACATTCTGAACTCGAATTTACCCTATCCAAAATATACCAATCTTGAAATGACTTAATTTTTTTTTATCCGAAACCAATTTAATCCAAACTCAAAATTATCCAATCATTTTTTTATTTAAATCCAAAATGATTTTAACTTTAAATAATTTAATTTTTTTCTTAACCCAAAATAATCAAACCAAACCTATTCGTCTGCCATTTACCACCTCTACTTTTAATTTTATATACGTTGGACAAGTGAAAAGTCTTTTTTATTGGAATGCAAAGTTTACTAGTGGGACTGGGAGGCAAAAGACAAACACTAGTCATGCAATTGCAAATTAAGGCCTACCTAGCTATACAAAACTATTTCATTTAGTTAATTTTTATTTGACATTATTGCTTTTCATTATATATATACCATGATGTGGAGACTTCTTTGAGGGACTTTGATTTTTTTTTTTCTGTAGTTTCTCTTAACTTGGAGGTGAATTAGAGTTAGAGATTATATATTAAATACTCCAACATGGGTAAGTTCAAAAGGGTGTGTGTGTTTTGTGGAAGTAATTCAGGGAACAGAAAGATATTCAGCGATGCAGCTCTTGATCTCGGCGCACACCTGGTTTGTTTGTTTGTTTCTAATCTCTCTTGCTCTTTCTCTTTTAATTTCTTTTTTTTTTTTTCTATTGTATCCATATGGAAAGTAAACATACGCTAGCTTGATCTTGCTTGCTAGTGAGTTTAATTAATTTGCTTTTGAACGGGGATTAATTCAATTTGCAGGTGGAACGGAAGATGGATTTGGTGTACGGAGGTGGGAGTATTGGGCTAATGGGTTTGGTTTCTCGAACAGTTTATGACGGTGGATGTCATGTTCTCGGGTAAGACTTGAGACTAACTAAGAGACCTATACAACTTTTTTAGCTAGTAGCGATTATTCATTGAATCTATCTTTTGCTGGCTGTTGGTTATGGAAACTGGCGGCAGCAGCAGCAGTCATCATATTCATATACAATTACTCTAACTTTGTTCATTAATAGTATCAATTTTGCTTGTTTTAAAATTAATTTCCGAATTTCTTATCATTAATCTATCCTTTTCTTTTGGTATCTATAGAGTAATCCCAACAGCTCTTGTCTCAGTTGAGGTATGAATTAGTGAACGTGGAACACACGCACGCACTAGCTCTCAGTTCTCTTTTGAGATATTTAGGATGCATATGCTGACCACTTGCATTACAGATATCAGGGCATGCAGTAGGGGAAGTGTTGATTGTGTCTGACATGCATGAACGAAAAGCAGAGATGGCCCGTCGAGCTGATGCTTTTATTGCACTCCCAGGTCAGTAGTGTATGCCCCCCCGCTCCAAAACTAACGCACAAGTAATTTGATATAGCTACAGTAAATTTGATGAATCTTAATTAATTTTATTTAATTATCCAAGGCGGCTATGGGACAATGGAGGAGTTACTTGAGATGATAACCTGGTCTCAGCTGGGCATCCATCACAAACCTGTAAGTCTCCCTTTCCTCCATTAATTTTCTTGTTTTTTTTCTTCTGCATATACAGATTGTATAATGACCCAACATGATTTCTCTATTCGAAAGTTCCCTAGAGTCGACCTATATATATATATATGAATATTAATAAATCCTAAACTATGGCCATCAATTCCCAAATAAGGGAGGGAGGCCTAGAGTCGATGGTTGATGATGATTTACAAACATTCTTCATTTTATTAGTTAAAAGAATATGATTTACACAATGTGGCTAATGAATGCATATTAATTCTACCACTTGCATAGAAAATCACTATTGTAAAGAATGGCATTCAAAATTATATATATGCATAAAGGACTGAGGATTTTTCCCAGCTCAGCAGCCTTCAAATTCTGATGATATGTCAAATTTTCCAATCACAAAATCAATATTTATGATCTGCTACATAAGCTACAGTAATTGGAAAATCAAGACAACCAACCATATATTAATATGGTTTTGTTTTGTGATTTTGTTTTCATTTTAATTTATATATATCTATATATATATATATATATATATGAATATCATTTTGGTCCATTTAAACCTAACTCCTTTCATCTCAGGATTAGAACTCAAGATTTTTAAATTGAAATCTAAAGTTTCTAACTGTTCAGCAGATCTTGCATCAGTATGTCTTGATTTTTGAAATATTAAATAAATTGACATCACAAGGTTCTCTCTATTGTCAAAAACACTCATTACCATCGGTGTATCAAAATTTTATATGGTTGCAAGAATACTTTTAAAGTTATCATTATATATGTCATTACGCAAACCAAAAAAAAATATATTTTCCGTTTTCCGTTTTTTTAGAAAGATTTTCCCAGCATGATCTGCTTGACGAACCGTTTCTTTTTCTTTACTTGATGATCTTTATATAATTGGTCTATCAATCATTGCAATTATCACCAATGAAATCGTTATAAAACTTTATGTAAAGCTTATATATTAGAATGTAGAATTGCTAGCTCCCATCGCATGAAGCTAGCTTAATTTCTTTATTACATACAGATCGGGATATATAGTTATTTGACATCAATTATTAGCAATCATGTACTCCTAAATTATAACTATATTCCAATTCTCGAAGATATTATTCTGATGGGTTAAGTAAGTGAGAAGAATTGTTAAAATTTCAATGCTTCATCGAGTCAGATATTGTATGGGAACATTTGCAAATGAATTACACATTTGATTATACACAGTATGGACTTCTTTTTATAAATGGTGGCACATCATACATGCTTTTGCTAAACAAAAAGAAGAAGCTTTTCTTTGTTGATATTTCCTCTTCATTGCTTTTTCTGTCTTTATTTATTATATATATATATATATATTACAAAAAAAAAAAAAAAAACAAAACACTGGTGGTCCCCGAAAAAGTTGAAAATAAATAATTGGGTTTGACAGATTCTTTGGTTTCTGTTTGGTGGTAAAGCAAAGCACATTTGATTTGGAAACCATAAACATCTAATCCCTAATTCATTTCTCTTTCAATCAACAGCTGTAATTCTTAAATCATGAGGTCCCCCTCCAACTCGATAACAATCAAATTTATTAGTGATGGGATGGCCATGAAATCGACTGATCAACACCCATTTCTAGGCCTAATTTGCTTGTACCCTAAACTTTTTTCTTGGAAATTAATGGAATATTATATAAATGTATGCATATTTCAAATAGGTATATATAGATTGAATGCTTCTTGTGTCACTGCAATCACATCTCATGCAATGAATGAGGTCCTCACAAAAACTAAAAACACGACATGTACATTAGACTTAAATTTTTTTTTATTGAGAAAATTAAACGAGTTTAAATGAAAAGGAAATACTGACTTAATTTTCTTTTGAGAATTAATATATAAATGAATTTCTTGATTTTCTGCGTCTTATGCACATTTGAGTAATTGGAAATTAATTAATTATATATATATATGGTAAATGATCCGCAGGTAGGTGTGTTGAACGTGGATGGGTATTTTGATAGCTTGCTGGGGTTGTTTGACAAAGGTGTAGAAGAGGGATTCATCAACGCTTCTGCTAGGACCATTGTCATATCCGCTAAGAATGCTCATGACCTCATCCAGAAGATGGAGGTTACTACTATACCCTAAACTATAAATTCATCTCAAATTCTTTATATATTTGTGTGTGTTGAAGTTATATCATGTACTGCAACTTACAATCTTACCCTCAAATTCCTTTTGTTACAATCTCACCCTACCCTACGTGCTTCCTATACTTAAATGGTAGTATATGTTATTATTAATATTTTTTAATATAAGGGTATTTTCACACTTCGTTTGAGGAAAGAAAATGAAAAAAAAAAAAAAGACTACTTAATCAAATCTCACCCTAGCCAATTTTATATACACTTGAACTAAGTTCAAATGGCAACGATAATGGTATATTTTTATTAATTAGTTAATGCTATTTTGTTCAGTGATCGGATTTTTTGATAGCTTATGAATAGATTGAGGTAATATTGTATAATAAATTTATGAATATACTTTTATTTCTTGTGAACAGCCAAATTGTTGGACGTGTTTTTTTTTAAATCAGTTCCTAATCAATTTGTTTCTAACCCTTTAATTGCTATCTACTTAACTCGTTTGAAGAGAACATATTTTATTTAAGTTCTTTTAAATTGACAATTTTTAGGAGTATTGTGATTGGTATGAATGTCATTAGAATTAATATTCAAATTACGTAATTATTAAAAAATTTAATATAGTGTATATTTTAATTATTTAGAATCATAATTTGAATTAATATTCAAATGAAGTAATTGTTCAAAAATATAATATATATTTATTATTTAGAATCATAAGATAATTAGGGTTCTAATATCATTTGAGTAATTGAAAAAGAATTAAATAGAAGAATCCAACAAGTCAGACTGGTGGACACATTAAAATACGAGGATTAAATGGTGACAAGCTGTCCTCAATACTTGTTTGAAAAAATTATATGTATTGCAAAGTTATTTTCAAATTTCAAGATCACATGACGCAGGAGTACGTGCCTGATCAAGATCGAGAGGCGCCAAGTCAAAGCTGGAACAACGAGTGCAATAATGATATGAGTTGGTAGCAGTTTGCTTCCTGTTGGCATCTGGAAAGGGAAAACCCCTTTTTTTTTTTTTTTTCTTTTAACAGTGTAGGCGAGGTTTAAAGAGAATTAGAAAAAGATAAATTTATGAAGGTTGGTTTCGAAACTTAATTTTGTTTGAATTTAACTTTTAAAGAACGTGACTGAACCATTTAAATTAAATTCAAGTTCAACACTTTACTTTCTTTGTCGTAATACAATACTACCGTTATCCATATCTTTATATATATATATCTATATATAGGAGTTGCAGCATAGTACATCGAGTATACTTGAAAAAGAAAATAATTTTTTTTTGGTTAAAGAATATATATAAAATTTTCATAAATGGTTTCTATATGACTGTGTTATGAGCAGCCACAGGAAGCTATTTTGGATTACCATAGATTGGTTTGCAAGAGAATGTTGAGAATTGCAAGAAAACTAATCAGCAAAAGAATGACTCAACTTAGAAGAATATTGTTAAAATAAAAAAAAAATTATTACATATAACCTATGACGGAGTTAGTTTTGTATACTAATACAATAACAATTTATAACTGACAACTGCGAGATGGCAATATCTCCATTCGCAATAACCATTAAATGACTTTTATCAATTATTTTAAAAGAGTTTGGTGTCGTAAATTTTTAGATTTTAGAAGAAAAAGTGATTTTGAAATTAATTGATACTCAAGAGAAATGTGTGATTTTTTAATTTTGTTGATTTTAGAAAATGTGAAATTTTTGTGTTAGATTAGAGGAATGTAAGTTTATTTAATAAAATCTTCTACTATATTATTATTAATAATATATAAATAATAAGTGATTTATTTAACATGTAAATTGTTAATTTAATCTTTTTGTTAATTATTTAAGTAGAATTTTTTAGGTTTTATTGCACAAATAATATATTTAATAATAAATTTAATATGTAATAATAAAAATTTTCATTATATATTTTCAACAAAATTTATGTTTTTAATTTTGAAAATTTCATCTTCGTTGAAACTAAAGAATTCTTAAAATTAAATTTCTTTTATATTTTCAACAAAAATAGATTTTTTTCATTTTAAAAACATCATGTTTATTGAATTCTGAAATATAAATTTTTTTCATATTTTTAACAAAATTTGCACTTTTTTTTTTATCTTAAAAATGTCGTTTTTGTTAAATTCTAAAAAATAATTTTTTTATAATATTTTTAAACAAATATTCTATTTTTTGTCTTAAAAATGTTGTTTTCATCTAAACTATAAAAAGTAAAATATAAAATTGTAACGTTTCTAAGATAAATAACGTTTAAACTTGGCAATCTAATACACGACTTGATAACACAACACAAACATGACACGAAAAAAGGACACAAAGGTGATACATTTTAAAATTTTAGTTATAATTATATGTGAATTTAACTAAACAAAAAAATATATTTTATGTTTTTATATTGATATGAATTGTGACACATAATTTTCGTGTAAAACATAATAGGAATACACAAATTTAATTATTTTACGTGACATAAATACACAAACTGTCATGTCTAATAATATTGTATATGTAACCTGAAAATGTAACTAAGTGAGGGCAAATGGGGTAAAAATTTCACTTTCCTTCCAAAATCTAAAAAAACTCAAGTATAGGAGAGTTTTTAACTCTCCTACTTTCTTATTTTTGACTTTGTTGGAATTGTAAGATTCTTGCCGTCAAGGAAAGTTTTTGAATCAAATCAAGGAATCAAATAACATAAAGTTAGATTCCACAAACCAAACTCCCCTTAAGGTAAATGATACAAACACTTGTTATAAACTCCCGTTAGATTAATATAAGCTTTTTGGCTACCTCTTCATCCTAGCAGGGAGCATAATACATAATTGAAATGGAGAATATTCTGAAGAATGCTCTAGCAAACCTTATTATTGATAATGAGATCCTTAAATGAACTAAGAAAAAGTTCAAAGGGATTATTTGAAAGGATAAGAATGTTGGATTAGAGGATATGGATGCTTCACTTGACACTAAATACTATTAAGAGCTAAAAGCCTAAGGAAAAAACCAATGTGTCATCAAACATGTTGACTGGCAATGAGGTTGATCAGGAAACGACATGGGATGACAGGAATGATAAGGAAGAAAGGTAAGCCATGCACTTTGTTGATGGCACTTTTAATTTTGAAGCAATATAGGTGCCATGAGCCTAGGGTGGTTTTTATCAAAGCAGAGAAAGCCACAATGAGAAATCCAATAAGGAAAGATTTTATTATATAGATATACAAGGAAAAGTTATAGGATTTCAAAACTAATGGCTAGAGTGAAACATCTTTGGCAATTGATGTTGTTTTTTATATGTCTTTTTGTTGGTGATGACATAAATAGTTGACTCAATATTGCCATTAAAATGGAGAATCGAATGAAGTTAGTGTATAGCTTAAAGGTGCATTCTAAGAGTCAAGTTCTTTTAGACTTTTTTGGCCCCACCAATTCTTAGGATGCAACAAAAGTTGATCAAATAATTTATAAGATACAATAAAGCCCTTGTTTAAATTCACTTTGCATCAATAAGATTCAAAACACTAAATACCATTCAAAAAGTAAACATATCTAATCTTAGACTAGATTTTATGTAGTAAACTAAGTCTAAGAGACTTGTCTTTATTTTAAGAGTGAAAAAGATAGAAATATGATCATTATCAAGTGTTTGATCATTCCAAATAAGTTCTTTCATTTCTATTTATAGAGAATGAAACCAAAGGTTATGTCACTTAATTTTTGTTGTTTCAATAAACTAACATGTCCCTTAATTAATAACATATCCTTTTGAATAATTACGGTGGTAATTATTCAGCTTTTATAAGTAAAAATTACTTGTGAATAATTATAATTCATTCTAAGAGAAACTATTTTCTAAGAATCTTCGATAAGGTAGTTAATTGCCTCTTTGTAAATTTTATATTCAAAATCCTTTCCATGCAGGTAATTGACTCTTTTTGGCTAGATAGCTAACTTCTTTCATTACAATAACTAAGCATTTGAGTTCTCTTTACAAAGCATTTGAATGCCTTAGTGAATTTTTTAAAAAGGTAGGCATTTTTCAGGTAGGACAGGCAACTACCCTCAGCCAGGCATCCGATTGCCCAAGTTCATATTCTTAACAAAAGCTATATTTCTTCCTAAAAGCCATGGCAGTCAAGTTCCTTTGTATGGGCAGTTGATTACTCTTTTTAATTCTGGCTTTCTTTACTTAGTTTATCAAATTATTGATTATATGATTATACTTAACCAATTTATCTCTCACTATTTTGAACATATTTCCAATAGTTAGAGAGGCGGTATAAAGTATAATTAACTTGGGTCAATTTTTTTTCTTTTTTATTTTAAAAGAAAAGCTGATTATAAACATGTTCTTAATGAAATACCATAGATTACAAGATGGCATTATCTCAAAACATGGTGAATATTAATTTATTAAACAAAATGTTTTAATTAATGAATGAGAAACTAGTAATTAAAAAGCTATAAAATAGTTTTGGAATGGTTTTAAAACTAACAAAATCTATTTAAAACATGAAAGAATTGATTAGAGAAACTCTTACCATAATTGGAGAAGCATTCTTTGGAGTAAGGATTTGGTTGCTAAAAGATGTAAGAAACTTCTTTTTAATGAGCATAAAATTGGTTTTGATGGATGGCAAATGGTTGGGTGATCAAACGTTAAAGGAAAGGTTCACTAGTCTAAATGAGAAAGGTAATTAAGATTAAGATAGACTTGAATATATTAGTGACAATGTTAAGGAGCAACTATTTTTAGTACCTTTTATTCATGGTAAGAAGGTTCAAGTTATCTGGTCCAGGGTAGTAAATGATTTGCTTTTGGGTTATTTAGTTTATGGTTTATTATTAGATGCTGGTCAATTTAATTCTAGTTGGTCTAAGATTTGAAAACTACATGTTCCATCTCAAATCAAATCTTTTCTTTGGCTTGTTTTTCATAGTAGGTTACTTATAAAGAAGGTTTGTGTGACAAGAAAAATTACTATGTTAGCTAAATGCCTAATATGTGAGGCTCTAATGGAAACCATCTGTCATTTGCTTAGTTATTATAAGGATTCTAAGTTCATTTGGATATGCTAATTGCATGGCTCTACATTGGACCAATTTAACTCTTTGACATCAAAAGATTGGGAGCACTTCAATTTAGCAAGGTAGAATATGTTACTTGTTGAGGTGATTCCTTCGCCTATTTTATTTGCTTTTGAAAATTGAAATATTAGAAAATGAAAAAACAAATGTGTGTTTGATGAAAACTTTAGATGGTCAACATATGAGGTTAACATTATAATTGCTAGTGGTAGAGTTTATTAGAATTTAGAGAGACTAGAAGGCTTCTTGCTCTTCAGCAAATTTAACTCATTACGTGGAAGCTTACTTGTATAAGCCAACCTTGTATAGGGCCATGACTAGGTATAAGATGTCTTGATCAAATCTTTTCTAAGGCAATAATTAGACAGAGGTGCCAATGGGTATAAATCAAACATTATAATGGTTTTTGGTAACATACTTGTAAAAGCTTTTTTGCTCTTTAATGGGGGTGAGCAATCGATGGATTATTTGGCTATTTTACTAGTTAAGATACATGTTAGAAAACACCTAGAGTTAACCCCTAATGATTATGAGAAAACTGTTAGAAAATTTAAGAAAACAAAAATAATAAGAAAGATGAAAATATGGCTTTGAGGCGTAAAGAACACTATCTTAAAATAATTATACCTATATAATACAATAAAGCTTTAAAAACTCTCTAAATCAAAATTAGTGAAATTGGTCAAGCAAAAAGATCTATTTATAATAAATGAATAGTCACCAATCAAGCTAATTCAAAAAATCATGATATTTTGTACAGTCATGTTTTCTTGTTTAAATAAACTTTATTTAAACTACTATATTTTTTTGTTCAGATATATTTATTCAGATCATCATGTTTTTCTCTTTTCAAATATTTTTATTCAAAATTAGTAATATTTCAAAATAAAAAAATTAAAAGATTTAAAAATTAAATCTATTTACCAAACAAGCCCAAGTGCCCTAAGTGCCTATCTTTGACTTTTAAAATTATCTGACCCTCTAGAAAAACTCCTAGTAAGCCCAAATTACTTGGCT